GGGAAGGCTAGTTCCGCACCGTCCCACTTCAGGCCACCACAAGTGGTCAGAAAGGTTTATTACACCCTCCTCTTTTCGCAAGATAAGCACTGTACCAGTCGCGTGGGGCTCGAACAACGTTTGTAAGGTTGGCATATGTGTCGATTTTCTCAACCCCTCACAAGACGCCAACCGTAGGCTGGAACTTACTTGCCAAAGACTGTAGGTTGGGAGCAGAGAGTGCTTTGGTTAGCTGGGTGGGTGGGAGGGTGGGGCGAACGCTCGTGTTTGTGGTGCACCACTCGTACCTCACACTCGTGCCTCGGCTCTGGAGTTTTCGGTTAAGAGCCAGGGTTTGAGTGTGTAATGTGTGTCCTGAGAGTAGAGTTTATACACATGGTCATTAGAGGTAGGAAAAATATGTGTTCCAGGACCAGTCTACACTTTATTTCTTTCCCGGATCGCATGTTCTGCTCTTTTTGTTTTTACCAAGGCCACAATAAAATAAGGGCGAAAAATGTATCTAAAGAACTGTTTTAGGCATGACCTTGTTGTCGGCGCCCGACTTCCATCAAGGCGCACATTCCAATTCGCAGATGTTGTCCCCACTCACCTTGCAGTTTATCTGCACATGGTACGACATGCGGCGCCAAGTTGAGGTGGACATGCGACAGACTCATTTTCACGGCGAGGTATTAACCTACGGCAAGCAATGCACGGAATGTCTAAGAAGAAGCCTAAATGAAAAGAAAAGGAAAGACCACGATTATGGTCTTGTTGCACTGGTAAATGAATTTCGGGGTACTTTATCACGTTAAACACCCTCTTGCAAGCAAAAGACAGTCGTGGATCTCGTAATATCTTTGGCGGGACAGGGAGAATGATCCGAGCTTCATTAGTTGCCTCCTGTGCTTTGACACATCACTGGAGATGGCATTCCATAGGGCAAACACAAGAGCAGACCGGCATATTACATGCCGTTCGGGGCGCTTTGTTGCCTGAGAAAGCCAGAGGACACCTACAGACACGAGGTGAACATCGCGTGTGCACTGGTGAGAGAAAACTGGCCCTCCGCCGCACAGCCAGCCTGTCTTAATATTGAAACTCTAGTCCCCCTCCCTTCCCCCTCTAACCCGACCTCCCATCCCCCCTCCACCCTACCTCTGGTTCCCCCTCCACCTCACCTCTGCTTCATACCTAGGACATTGCGGAAGCTGCTCTTTCTGTGTACCAAAACACCCTACTACCCCGCGCGCGCCCTGCCGCCCACCAGCAACCGAGGGACCCCCAAAAACCAGCATGGGACAGGCCGCCATTAAAAAAACTATCCACACCCGACGATCACGCCCACTGCACGCTTGTGCATAGACAACGGTGAGTATCTCCTGGGGCACCGCACGCTGCGCTACCCCCTCACCAATCTCCTCCTTGCAAAGCGCACGGCAGATACCCTATCCGCGCCTCTCGCGCGCCCCCTGAAAAAGCTCTTGCTCGCCTCATACGCGAGGAAGAAGACCGCACTCGAGGGCCCGATGAGGAAGCAGCGCGGCCCCAGCCCCTTGAGCAACGCCCCTGGCCCCTCCTTCGACACGGTCTTCACGACGCAGTCCAGCGCGTTCTTATACAGCGGCTGCGCGCCGCCCGCCTGCGACATCATGCGCGTGCGCACGACGTCCAGCGGGGTGGTAAAGGCGCCCGTGAGCGTGCCCGAAAGTGCGCCGATGAGCAGGTTCTCCCACGGGGCGAGGGCCCTGCCCTCCGCGGTTCGTGTAGACACATACCACGAGCGAAAGCGCTCGTACAGCGAGAGCTGGATGGCGCGGAAGGGAATATCCCTGGCAATAGCCGCGGGGTAGCCCTGGTAGAATGAGCGTGGGCCCTGTGCGGCGGTGGCGCGTGCGGCGGCGACGGGGGTGGAGTACAGGCCGGCCTGGGTCTTGGACTTGACGACCTCGGACGGGGTGAGCCAGAGCGAGCCGAGGGCGTCGCCGGCGGCGGCGGCGACGACGATGCGGGCCCACTCCGGGAGGCGCGGGAAGCGGGCCGCGAGCTGGGTGCGCAGCGACTCGTACAGGCCGAAGGTTAGCATTGCGTACGGGATCTGGCCGAGCAGCGAGAAGCCCACGCCGCGGTAGAGGGCGCCCTGCGCAAAGGCGGAGGCGAGAGGAGACGCGGGCGTGCGCGCGACTTGGATGCGCGTCTTGATGGTGTCGACCGGGTACATGGTGAGGATTTGGGCGAGACGCCCTATCGCGCCGCACGCAAGGCTTTGAGGGAGCGTCAGCGCCGACAGTGCGGGCGAGGCCGCGAGGAACCGGTGCCGCCAGCGCGCGGTTTTCGCCCGGTTGACGTGCAGATGCGCGGATCGGCGGGAGAGCGGGGAGAGAAGGACCGTTGACGACATGGTGCTGCGGGTTGCGATTTGCGATTTGCGATTTGCGATGGGATGGGATGGGATGAGGGATCGGAGCGCGAGGGGAGCGCGAGGGGAGCGCGAGGGGAGCGCGAGGGGAGCGTGCCGTGGGTTTAGAAATGAGGTTGACGGGTGATTGGGGATGAGCATCGAGGAGGGCGGCAGAGGTGGGGATGCCTCGTTTCGCAAACAGCATCGCTTCGTAGACAGCGATGGATGATCATGGCGTGAGTTTTTTGGGCTGAGGGGCATTATGAAAATGGACGGTTAAGTAAATATAGTGCGTGAATCCCAAACATTGATTAAAACAGCTTTAAAGAATAGTCGAAATATATCGGTCGTCTTAAATTAAATGCATATTTTTACAAAGCAGTATTAGATTCTAGTACAGAAAGAGATGCGTCTTATTAAAACAGCATGAGGGTCTCCTTTAAGACAGCATGGACAGCCATGTTTGGATGTACAGTATATGTTTGCGATTTTCAAAATATTACATGTCCAATAATTTAATGTATTGTGTCAGCGCGCTGTGATCCGTAAATTGGCTCAAGGGGTGCATCATACCGGGCTATCGATAGGGAAGAGGGTAGAAAGGATGTGTTTTTGGGTCTTGGTTTGGTTCTGTCGGGAGACGAATCGCATCTCCTTCGATTGCCAGCCTCCCGCCTTTTTTCAAGTGTACAGGGGGGTCGCGATAGTGCCATCTTTGTTAGTGCCAGCTCCGATATAGTGATACCCTTTTGTGGGTGGCGCGAATTTTGAGCCAAAAACTAAGGGTCTCCAGAGAGGCAGTTGGATGGACGTACTGCCCGAGAGCCGCTGCCGCCGCGGAAAGATATTATGCAGTTGCTTACTAGAATAGAGACTATGGCGGAAAAAGGCAGGGTCGATGATGCAATTGGACATCTGCAAAAGTGTAGGCTGGCATTTATTGCTGCAAAAATGGAGGAAGTCAATGCGACGGCTCGGAAGCTACTAATGACATAAATGCTTGATTAGACTTGAGTCTGTACACGTAGTGAAGATGCAAAGTATGAGTGATGGCGTCTTGCGAACGGTCTTTCTGAGCAGTGATGCAAGGAAGTGGCTGCAAAAAAGCCGCAAATCTCATTATCTTACAGTGCCTGGTTCGATATAGTGCCGTTTTTGGCCCACTGACAGAGGGAGGCACTATATCGCGATCCCGTGTACTGGCATTCAGGGACGTCAATAAAATGATTAAATTGAATTTTAATGTATGCTAAATTGGATCAAGATTGAATTCAATCGCACTTATGCGGTAGGCGACAGCCAATGGTGTGCTCTCGTATGGCACGTTGGCAGTGACAGATGAGATTATTTTAACTTTGTGCGCGCCATCATACTGTTAAGAAAAGTATTAAATGGACCAATCAGGTGCACGCTGACGTCCATACATGTCCAAACATGCCCGTCCATGCTGTCTTAAAGGAGGCCCTGAATAGAGGGTGACACGTCAGTGAAACGCCATGCGTCATGCCTCCATTTTTTACCCTTTTTCACAAACCCGCGAGTCCCTTGTCATTTACAGTACCCGTCCTGTATGCACTGTGCTTCCCCACAATTGCCATGGTCTAACTTACAGTTTCTATTACTGTAATGTATGTGTAGCACTCCTACTGTACGTTTGCTGCACTCAACCTTACAGAACATATGACTGTAATGTTCATGTAGCACTCGTACTGTACTTTTGCTGCACACGTTGTACAAGTGTCCACGTTTACATCGTCACGCCACACGTGCTTCTTGTCCTTGTTGATTCCCCTTTCGTTCCGCAGGCCATCCCCGAGCCCGCCCACCCAAACACATCAACTCTCCGCCGTTCCCCCCAGCACACCGCATCACCCCGCTTCTCACCCAGCTCGCAATGGAGGAGCTCGATGCCGAGCTCCTAGCGGTGACGGAGCACAAGGGCGGGGACCAGTCCGACAACTCTGGGTCGTCGGCGGCGGGGTCGGACGGCATCCGCGACGACTCCGGGGCGGACGATGACTCCAACGATCTGGACGAGGCCGCGGGCTCGGACGACGACGGGTCGGACGACGAGTTCGGCATCGCGTCGGACTCGTCGGACGACTACGCGCGCAAGCCGCGCCGCAAGCGGAAGACGCCCGCGCCGAAGAAGCCGAAAGCCGCGCGCTCCAAGCCGAAGCGCAAGAAGGTCGCGCGCAAGCGCGCCCCGGCGAATATGCCGTCCGATGACGACGACAGCGAGGAGACCTTCCAGTACGAGTACGACAAGAGCGGATACGGCGACGACGCCGACCGCGAGCGCCTGCTCGGCATGAACGAGGTCGAGAGGGAGACCCTGCTCATGGAGAGGGTCGACGCCCGCAATAAGGAGTACGAGATTTGGAAGATGGGGAGGAATTTGAAGGCCAGGCAGTCCGGGAAGGCGGCGGCGCTCGGCGCCACGAGGACCGCGCGGAGTAGCGGCAGGACCAAGGCTTCGAGTAAGTCGGACGCCCTGCAGGCCCTGGCGGAGGATAAACGGAAGAAGACGTCGCGCGCGTTTGAAGATGTCAGCGATGCGGATAGTGAGGTCGAGGGGAGGTCTAGGCGCGAGAAGAGGGAGGACAGAGAGAAGGAGATGAAGCAGGAGGCGAAGGAGGAGGCCGCACTTATGGTCGATGATGATGGCCCGGAACTGCGGTATGCTGATGTTGTTAAGGTTGGGAAGGCCGGTGAGAGGAGTACCACCCCGCTGTTTTTGAGGAGGGATACACTTATCAATTTGTCGCAGCAGCCGTTCTTTGAGAGGTTTGTTGTCGGGTTGTTTGCGAGGATCAGGGTCGATGGGAGTCGGTATGCGGAAGATGGTGGGTCTTACCTGCTGTGTAGAATTGTTGCCGTTGAGAAGAGCAAGGTCTACGATCTTATGAGCGACATTAGGACGAACTATGTGCTTATATTGCAGATTGGAAAGCAGAAGCGCCCGATTCGCATCAACATGACGTCGGGCTCGCATCCGTCCGAGCGGGAATTTGAGGTATATCGTTCGCGTGCCTTGGATGCAGGCGTTGACATGCCGAGAAGAGAGGAAGTGCTCAAGCTCTTCAAGAAGACCAACGAGCTGTTCCTTGATCAGAAAGTCACTGCCACGGATGAAGAGAATAAGAAGCATATTGCGAACATGGAAATTTTGTATCCTTCGCGTGTCAACTGGACCCAAAAGAGAACGGAGGCACGGACAGGCTTAGACATCAAGCGTCAGGAATTAAATTCTAGTCGTCGGAAGGGTGCGACAGAGTTGGAGCACAAGTTGGAGAGCGAGGTTGTAGAGCTGGAGAAACGCCTCCGTGAGATTGAGGCGAATGAGGAAAAGTATGGAATGTCCCAGGTGAAAAGCGAGGACGTCTTTCACGGATTGGCAATCCGAAACATGGCTCTCAATAAGGCCAATGAACAATTGATGGCAAGACAGCGCCATTTGGAGGATGAAAGTGGGGGCATTGACCCATTTGCGAGATTTGATACAACAGGGCAGTCGTATTACTCAATCGCAAAGAAGGGAGAGTCAGGGAACGGCAAGCCACCAGAAAAGAAAAAGAGAAAGCTTTCGCAATCTGACTGGCGTTCATGCTTGAAGAGCTGGCGCCCGGATGACAAGAAGAGGAAAATCAGTGAAAACCCCCTAAATCCGCTTTATGCAGGAGAAATCCTTCAAGACGGTATCTTTGAAAAGGGAAGTTCTGATGGGTCTAGTCAAAAGGACATCCGTTTGCGACCGCCAAGAGTTGATAGCGTTTACGCTGGTCTTGTTCGAAACAAAGTCAGACTGCCTCCCAATGCAAAAGTCATGAGTTATGATGAATGGTCAAAGATGCGTGGGATGTAGCTGGTCTGGCCTCTCTCAAGGAGATTGAGGTGCTGCGGTTCCCGTCCGGAACTGGTGGGACTCTGCGACAGTGCTGAGTTAGACATTTTGTCACATTTCCAGCCGTGGGCGTACAAGATGGAGTGCATATCTACCCTGAACATGACAGCGAGGTCCGAGACCAGAGCCGAGCATGACCCTGTCATGGCGCTTCGTTTAAATGTGTTTTTCTGCAGTTCAAATCATGTCTGCTCAGCTGCGCGTCAAATGAACTGGACGCAGCGACGATAGTTCCGGATCAGTACAGTACATCAATTGTTTGAATGTCATCTGCACGAGATAAACAGTCAAAGGGGAACCTCGAGGATCAACTTCACTCGCATCTCTCAAGGTCCGACATCCTGGACATGTTTTGACAGTATAGAGCACGAAGGTTCCTTAAACTTGGCAACCTCTGTACTGCCACAGTGCTGCACAGGATATCGGTTTGTGGTGGTATCAATACCACGGATCATGTTTTCGCAGCCACAGTGGCGATGCCCAACGGCTCAGTTTGCATGGTAGGATGTGCACATCAATGGTGTGGATCAACGTATGGCCGATTAGCCTCATGGCCGAGTGAAGCTAAATTCGACAATTTCACATATTTTCAGGGCTTGTTCTCATACTCTAACAAGTCAAACACTCAACTGAGGCCTGTCATGTCATCAGCTTTGGGCATTCATCGGCAAAGAGATCACCATCGTCCGTCTTTGTCCAACCTGGGCCGATGAAGTGAACAACTTTCTCCCTGTTTATGTAGAAAGGATGAGTGAGTCACAGGAAAAAGCGAATTCTCAGCAATTGCGAGCAGCAGCAGTAGATGGTGTCACTGGAGCAATCACACGAGGTCGTAAGCGACGTTCAAGACAACATGACGTTCCTCGCAATGACATTCAAATTGGACCTCTAACAACCGCCAAACCGGAACAGCTCGCTGCTCCGCAGAGGCAATTGCAAAATGTCTCATACCACAAGCGCAGACGGGTTAGCTTAATCCCGGGTACAGAAGTCGAAGATGAGGATGACTCAAACGACGAATGGGAAGAAGATGTTCATATGGATACGGACGCTGTTGAAGCCGCCGTTAAGTTAATGACGCAAGATGCAGAGCAAAAGAAAAAAGCCGATGACGAAGCCACTGCGGATGATAAAGGACCGGAAAAAGAAGAACCGAAAAAGTCGGCGGAAGAAATCGCGGAAGAGGAAAAACAAGCTCGGGCAAGAAAGCGAGCAGTCGCTGCGAGGAAAAGAAAAAAGTTGCTACGCCGACATGCGTTGCACCTTTTACTCTCTGTCGCGACTTTGTTCCGGTTGGATGGTGCGGCAAACACGGATCTGGTGTCTGGTATGGCGCTGAGCATGCTTCCGAAGGATATGTTTCTGAGAGTGGAGTCCATATCTGAAGATTTGTCACGACTCGGGCTTTGGATACGAATGACATTCAAGCCAACTGCCATGATTCAGGATCTCATCTACGGGGACAAAGTGTTCTCTCGGAGGCGATTGTGCAGTGCCGCAGAACGCGCTGTTGCTTGCATCAGTCGTGGAGCTGGCGATGTAATGGACATAGCTGTGGCGATTGCTGCTCTCGTTCGATCCCAAGGGTTTCGCTGTCGTATCGTCATTCCTTTACAGCCATTACAACACAAATTGTCGAAAGCAACGAAAGCAAAGGGTTCTGGACCTGGAGGGGCAACGGTTGTAGAAGTAAACCCCTTCAATGAGACTGAAGCGATACTGTATAGCTGGCTTGAAGTCTGGTGTCCCGCGGACAAAAGATGGATTCCGCTTGATATTCGTGAAGGGTTCTTGAGCGAGGAGAATCCTACCGAAGTGCTCCGAAAGAGTATATCACGCGTGCAATGCTTCGCAGAGCGCGTAGACTTGAAACCAGTTAAGAGGGATGCTTTAGCCACGTCACCGGCCCGACGGAAATCTACCCGCCGGACGTCGAAAAGGTTGCAGACAGAGCATCTAGATCCGGTAGAAGTACCTAGGCGAGCGCTGCATCCGGCTTTGTTCTCTCATGTAGTCGCGATTGAACGAGGGGTCATTACAGATGTAACCTGGCGTTATACGAGGAATTCAACGGAAGTCTCGAAGGCGAGAGCGACTGGGAAGGTTTTCGAAAAGGTTTTGCAGCGGTTTCAAGATGAGTGCCCGGCGGATGCAGATGATGAAGCATACAGATTAGAGTTGGATGAGTTTGATGCACTGGCAGCAAATGAGCCAGTGCCAACTACACTGACTGCCTTTGAAAAGCACCGCCGTTATGTCCTTGAGCGTCATATCAAGAGATACGAAGTCGTTCATCCGAAGTTTCCCGTCATTGGCCACTTCAACGAAGAACCAATCTATCTCAGGTCGAGAGTGCATCTTTTACACACAAAGGATCGATGGATTCGTCAGATGCGAGAGGTCATGGACGACGCCAAGCCCATGAAGGTTGTTAAATCAAAGAACGGAAGTGATGACACGGTGGACCTGTTTGGGAAATGGCAGACAATGCCCCTAATCATTCCCGAATGTGTCGATGGCAAAGTGCCTCGGAATATGCGGGGTAACGTTGATCTCTGGACACCAGAGCATCTCCCCAAGGGCACTGTGCACATTAAGTCTCCGTTTGCGAGAGGGGCCGCGCGAACACTTGGCGTGGACTTTGCGCCGGCCATGACCGGGTTTGAGCTGATGCGAGGGCGACCGGTTCCAAAGATTGAAGGTATTGTTATTGCTGAGGAAAATGAGGACATGATTCGGGACGCGGCTCGTAGCTCGGCGCAAGTGGTGCGGGAACGGCAAGCGAAAAGGGAAGAAGAAGAAGCTCGAGCAAGAGAGGAGCAGGCAGCTCGGGAAGCCAGGGCTCGCGAAAGAGTGCAGAGACGCTACGGAGGTAAGGGTTAAGAGAGAGCAAGAGTCACTCAGCAGGTAAAGATGAAAGTGAACGCGATAGCGTGAAGGAATAGGTGAGCGAGTGGTATGGATTCCTTGTAACAAGTGTGTGGAGTAATGTGGTGTAGTGAGGAATGCGAAGGGTGAGGATGTGTGAGAATAGTGAAGGCGCGTTCGAATGAGGCGCTCTTGTCGAGTATTAGCAAAAGGTGGGCAATAAATCGATGAACTCAAGCACGAGCCAGGTCGAAAGGCGTGGACAGGACTTTATTTTCGGTGGGCATGCAGTGCGGCAAGCCTTGCCTATTGTTGCGGCACTTTGCGTTTGCATCTACAGTACTGGACGATCGACCGGTAAGCCATAGAGATCAAACAAGGACGATCGATGCGGAATAAATCGCATGACACCAGCACAGAAGCATCCGGCGAGAGGGTAGGCGCAACCATCAGCGTATGAAGAGAAACGGAGGACACAAGCGGGATGCATTGTCGGGGAATGGATATGGCGACTCGCAAGATGAGGTGTGACCATGAATTCTCAGTGGGCAGGTGTGTATAGACACCTGACAGATACAAGAAGCATCGGGAAGGTTAACCTGGCGGGCGAAGGAGCGGAATAAGGCACGTAAGTTTACAGGGGATCGAGCTCAAAAACCTGTCCGCACTCGTCGCAGGTGCACGCCTGTCCCTTCTCGACGCTAAGCCAAACTAAGTCATGGTCGTCGGGGGTAGCCTTCCCCGTGCAGCCGACGATCCTGGCATCGTAGTTGGACTGGATCTTGACGGGGTTGTCCTCCGTGCCGAACGGGCCGCGCAGGACCTCGTTGTGCTTGAACAGGTCGGGGTGGTCGATCTCGGCGCGCTCCAGACCGGTAGCCTGGTCGAAGATGCTTGGGATCTCGCCGGCGACGCCCGGCTTCACCTCGGGCACGAGGTTTGGGGCGTCCGGCTTTGCGGCGAACGCGCGCGCGGCGCCGCGCGAAAGGGCGGCCGCGGGGCGCGAGACCCGTGACGACGGGGCGGCTGCGGCGGCCGCGATGCGCGCGAGGGCGCGGAGCGAGGGCGCGGTGCGCAACATTTCTTCCCGCGGGAGAGGCGAAGGGGCTAGGGCAAATTGGCGGCGGGGCGGGCGCGACAACTGGGCGGCGCGGCGCGGGATCAGATCGCGGGCGGCGGGGCGGGCGGCGGCGGCGGGGGAGGGAGAGGGGGGCGGTGATGGGGGGCACGGGCGGAAGAGGTTTGCGGGGGAGGGGGGGGGGCAGAGGTTGCAAGGGGCGGTTGTTGGGCGGGGTGCGGAGGGGGGGAGGGGCGGAAATGGGGATGACTGCTCCGGCCGAGAACACGGACCACGGAATGGCGAATGGATGTCGACAGGATTCGGCAGCAGCTGATCGTGTGTGCGGTCGATGTCCGCTGCGCACTGACTCTGTAGCCGCTCTGGACAGGCTGTCCATATCATCATTCAATTACATCGCACCCTTTACAGTAAGACTACATTGCGCCACTTGTACTTTCATCTCCTTCTTCCCTGTAGCTCCTCCAATTCCCCTCGAAAAACCCTACTGCTCGTCACGTCAACCACTTGCACTGCTCCACTGCTCCACTGTTCCACGGCTCCTGCGCCATCGCAGTCCTTCCCCGCAACCTCACATGTCCCTCAACATGCCGCTCCCTCACGCCTTTGCCCCGCCGACCACCCTCACATCCTCCCACCATCGTCCCTCGGCCCTCCCCCGCATCACCCGCCGCAAACCGCGCCCCCGCACCATCCCGCCGCAAAGCCTCCTGCGAAGACAGCGCCTCCGAAACGCGGACGACCCTCCTGCCCCATCCCCGGGTCCCGGCGAGTCGGCATCAGCCCCCTCCGGCCCCGACGAAACGGAGCAGCCCCCTTCGGAAGCGGACGAAGCAGACACCTCGGACGACTCGGTGCTGCCGAGCCTCAAGGAGTTATTTTCCGGGGGAGGCGCTCCGGGCTGCGAGCAATGCGCGGGCGCGGGCGAGATCCCGTGCCCGGTGTGCCAGGCCCAGGGCTTTGTCTCGCTCACCATGATGAGCACGGTGTCTTCCGCGCAGTGCCGCATGTGTCGCGGCGGGTGCCGCATCCCGTGCCCGACCTGCCGCCAGATCGTGTACAAGTCGGTCGTGTGGTGGGACAAGGTCCCCGACGCAGAGGAAGACCCCGAGGAGAAGTGGAAGCTCGAAGGAGGCGATGACGACGTCAAGATTCAATGGGGCGACAATCCCGCGGGTCCGCCGTCATAGGACCCCTCAACTTTTTGATTTAGTTTAGTCGTTGACAGGCGGGAAGCCTCCGCCGCTTGCGCGTCCGCCGTCTATGTAAAGAAGATGGGCGATGCGCCCAGTTTTACACCCCCGCCAGGCGCCAGTGCCTCGCCGTTTTTCTCCGTCACCTCGCTGCCCGGCGTCGACTCGTCCTCTGTCACGACGCGCTCTTTCTTATCAGTCTGGCTCGAGGCTCCTTGCTCCTCTCCCGTTATGTCTTGTCCAAACCGCCGGCTGATCGCTTCCGCGATCGCGCTAGCCGCAGCAAAAGTGACGAGCAAGCCGGCCATGATGCCGGTGCCCACCCCTGCGATGGCGACCGCCGCGGTGGCGGCGGCGGCGAGGCCGAAAAGCCCGCAGGCGCATAGCGTGGCCAGGGATGCCAAGGCCGCGGCGAGGCCCGCGACCGCCAGAGTCAGCGAAAGGAGGAGGCAGAGGATGAGGAGGGCGACCAGAGAGGCCAGGCAGGGGGAGAGGAGCAACAGCAGCAGCGATTGCGTGTCGGATAGTGACAACGGCAGGAGTGGGAGGAAGCTGGAGAAGAGATGCGAGAACGAAGGCTGTACGGCTGTCATTCTGCTGCTTGGGTTATGGGGGTGGAGCGCGAGAAGATGCGCTCGTCTTGCTGATGATCAAGCAAATGGGACAGTGTGTAGTTGTGGACAACTGCACGTGGTGACATCACCACGCACACGTGTACAGCAGCACACGTACTGTAGAACCCTATAAGTTCTAGGCTAGAACACACCGTCGTCCTTTCCGCCTATAAAATGGCGTCCTAGGAACGAGACTGTAAAGGCGACGGGGATACGGGACTCTCGTCATCACAGTAGTCAACTCAAACCAAGTGTTGAGGGTGGTCAACAGGCCGAATCACCCATAAACTATTCGTGGTGCCATGCCGTCTTTGGCCCTCGGTCACCATCGGCAGATTCGTCCCAAGTATCGGGCCTTAACCACCTTTCGCGACTTCGGCGACGCAGAGCATCAACGTAATGCATGGCGTCAAGCACGGCGCCTCCATGCGCAAGCATATCGTATCGGCATCCGTCAGGAAGTGCCTCCCAAGAGGCTTCCCTTGAAGCGTGCCGTGAACGTGTGCGGACATTCGCACGACATAATACAACGTCGTGCTCGGTGGCACACAACTGTACGCCCTTCATATATGCCGCTATGGAATAGTCCTCACGCCACTTACGCTCACAAGCTGACGCACGACCAAAGAAATCGTTACGCCAACTGTACTCAACAGCCCCGGGTACATCCACGCCCATCCTTCCGTGATCATGCGATACTACTAGGTTAACCCCTAGCAGCAAAGCCACAACCAACACAACAGCCGATACGGTGACGAGAAATACGTTCATCATCGTATCACTATGTAGCTCACACTCAATAACAGAACAACAGTATCCTACAGTGTGATCACCTCTTCTGCCAAGCAGAACTGATGGAAAAAGGCTGGTCCCAGCAGCTCTAATAGAATAAACCACAACACCTTCCTGGGAAGGTTGAAGATGTTGTAGTTAAAGATGTTGTGGGCAGGAAGGTTGAAGATGTTGTGGTTGAAGATGTTGTGGTTAACCTTCCCAGGAAGGTTGAAGATGTTGTGGTTTGTTCTAGTAGAGCTGCTGTACGATACTTGGATATATACTGCATTTCATGTGCAGATGCGTTCTCAGTGCATTCCAGATTGTATGACGTAACCAACCCCAATTCCGCTGAATTAAGGAAATTAGTACTGTAGCATGTCAGACATGGGCCATCGACTATGGGACCGATTATGCCGAACCTACTCTAACCTACGTGTCGCTGCAGTCGTATTACTCTTAATGCAGGATGCGCTCCAGCAGTTCACCAAACTGGTATCCTCATTAACTATGTGTAGCAGTTCCTATTTGGGACAACGGTGCCCTTTCAGAATCGGGAAGGCTTTCTACATTATAATACAGTAATACAGTATATTCGATGCTGTCGCACGTGGCAGGCGTCAAGAACTCACACTTGGGCTGGATGAGAAAGGGCCGCGCCGTGACAGAGCATGCGGGCGAGGGTAGGGGGGGCGACACTCGACCAAATCGTGTATGTCCCATTGAACACGTGTGGGGGGGTAATTTTATTCAAATGTGAGGGGGGCGAACACGTGTCACACGTGTTCAATGGGGCATACACAAACATTTATTTAAATACAACCAGCGAGGCCCATCTCATCACCAACAACTAGCGGCTCTGTGGCCAAATTGGATAAGGCATCGGTCTACGGTGAAGCGTAGTTATCCGGAGATTGCAGGTTCAAGTCCTGCCAGAGTCGTATTTTTTTTCCACTTATTATCTGAGCTCGTTGCTTTCGAGCAATGCTCAAGAAGCTTCCATGATGGAATGAATGATAGTCGGCGAGAACTGCGCATGCATCCTCGCCCTTTTGCTCGGCCTCAGTTTTGTTCGGCCTCAGAAACCTACGAATTGGATGTCGTGTAGTGTGGGCTCACAGCACTGCATACAGTATCTTCTTGCGCACGATCTAAAAGGTCCTTCATGTCCATACTCAGATTCTTCTCAATGGAAAGTGAACCCAATTTCATCACCACAGAAGGAATCAATACCCTACGGCTGTCGAAACCTGCCACTGAAATCTTTATAGCAGCGAACCATCGGTAGGCACAACCTGGCCAGCTTCTAAAGCTTTCGGATGCATTGCACGTGCCTGAATCCTGATTGTATAAAAGTGCACTTGTATCCTCCCACATTGACTATTCGTGAAATCCCTTCTGCGGCCCAGTACTTAGAGACTCCGTGACAATTTCACTCTGTACATTCCTGGCATGCAGGTTAGTGGTTTCCGCTTGATATCCCCGTCATGTAAAAGAAACAACGCAATCGATACTAAAAGTCGATATCCACAAAGGAAAAGCAAACACCACACCGTTCCACCACACCGTTCGTGCGCCACTAATTTTGACATCGAGAATACGTCCCTCCCTTTTCAAAATACTGAGATCTGTACCATTGTTCTGAATTGAGAATCAAGATACACATAAGATGGCATTGAATTTTGGTAGGTAGGATACACCTGCACAGCCATGGTTCCTAACGTCACATAGAAAGCAAGGAGCCATTCCTCCATTTGTAAAAGAATATTCTACCTGTGCTAGCCAAAAGTAATTCTGGTGAGCGGGTCTCTGATGCAATGCCACCAGGGTAACCAGTACGCCGCTTCTGTTCGTCTCCGTTAAATGCTTTGTCCCGTTGTGATACGAGAAGCACAGCACGTGTAAGAGGGAAGACAAGTTGGCTGTTGCTTGAATGCATTTCAAGCTCTTCTCTAAAGTAACGCCTCGAAAACTCAGTCTCATATCTCTCTTATCATGTTGAGCACTCACTTGTAAAAAGTATGCTGTCCCCTAGTGCGCTGTAGGCGGTCGCAGAGCTGTTCATAGGACCATGACAGGCAAATCAAACAAGAGCAATCCAGAATTATAGTCTGGAGGATATTCTGTCGAGTTTATGTCAATGGGCAATGAGAAACACGGCTCTGCCGGAGATTGATTTCTTTTCCGTGTTACTTGGCTGTCTTTATTAGAGAAGATGAAAAAACGACTACCATAAGCAAGTCTGACAAAGTTGGCATAGTGCAAATGGGCATCGTATTTGGGAAATGGTCTTATGACCAAAAAGTAATCTTTCAGCGCTGATGACAACGGGGACGACAGAGGGTATGGAAGTACCATTCCATGGCAAACGTATTCTATGCAATTCTCGGCATGGTTCTAAGCGTTTCAATTGACATGGTTCAAAGTGTTCAATCAACACCCCATAGCCTGGGCGAGAGAGGTTACCCCAAAGGTTTCTAGGCTTGCCTTTCTGACAGCCATTGCACTTCCTCAATGGCAGCGACAAAATGACAAATCCCTCTGCATACTGAAGACATCTACCGCGCGACTCGGACCCCTCTGTTATCTTTCAGACTCTAACGAAGAGTGACTTGCGGAGCCATCGGGCCGACGTGTTGTTTGCCGCGGCGAGCGAGAAATACCGCGGTTGAAAGGGAGGGGCAAAAGACGTGCGCACTGCTTCAGCCTCAAGGCGAAACTGTGCCGGGTGAGTGTCACCTGCGCCTACTTCGGACGAGGTTTGCAGAAAAAGCACGAAGCTACGCACCAAGTTAGAACAGAAGTAATGTGACCCGTCGATGGTGCCGTTTCAGCACAGTTGATTTCTAGCTTTTCTGCTAGAGGACGATGGAGGAAAAATTGCGTGCTGATGTTTGGACGCGACTTTTCCGGGCAGCCCGCCTACCGGGGTGGCTCAATGACAAGCTGAAGTCGCATGGAGAAGTTATTGAGGGCGGGGGCTCTCCTTTTTTGTTCGACACTGACATGTTTATACGTTCCAGTATGGTATGCATCGATGCTGTCAGTTCAAAAGTTCCAAACAGTACCGATTTGGTATTATACGGAATTTACAACTTAAGGCATTCAAGAGGACATGAGGCGACAGGGAGAGGGTCGACCATGCGGGAAGCAGAGGCACAATAGTTGGTCTCCACTTACGAAAGGAGGCATTTATGCGTGATAAGTGTGAGAATTGAAGTCACGCTCTCAAAGAACAGATCACACGAATTGCAGTCTTGCAGTATGTCAGCATCGCGAGACACATATGGCTCACATACTGCATTTCCAAGTGACTAAGTTTGTATGTGCTACTGGGTGCTCCTGTCCTGGAAAGCGCAAACGCAAGGAGTAGGCGCTTACAGTTGTTTTTGTTCTGCTGCCTCGAACGACGAGAACCGAGACAGAGCACTTCTCTGTTAAAAACTGCTGTGTATAGTGCAAGTCATGCTATGTAAATGGACACGAAACTGTAGCAAGTGAGTCCAAACGCCAGAAAAATTGACTCTTGTCTATTTGCGGTGAATCCACATAAAGGAAAAGTTCTAAGGGATTCCTGAGTCGTGCCCTTTCCGAATCCTCCGGCAAAGATGTTAGGTGCACACAAAGTCCTTCCGAGAATGCTTAGCGTGTAATCGTGTCGATATGTCGAAAACTAGAGAGCTCATGTATCGGACCGTTTCTCAGCGAGGTTCACCGAGTTCCCTGTCCTTTTCCCTGTGACTTTATATAAATCTCACACGTAACACAACTCATCGAAGCTAGCGGTGAAGCTAGCGGTGAACGACAAATCGCTGGCGAGTATGCTATAAGGTTCATCGCCAGGCGTGAGAAGCGCATGAACGGTTGTTCATCGACAAACACCCACACATTTCCAGTTCCATCTTCGCAATGGCACGCAATGACGAATCGCTTGCTAATGAATGTGTGAACTGAAGTCCAAGCTCACAAAGAACAGGTATCACGTTGTGGTCTTTAGGTTCATCATCGTCACGAGACAACATATGGCTTACCGCATTTTCAGGCAACAGTCCCCCTCTGCTACTGAGCACTCCCATCCCAGGACGGTGAGCGGGTTCGAGCAGACTGTTATTTTGGTTGCTGTTCTTTTGCGTCGAAACTGCGAGAACAGAGACTACTGCTCGGACAAGCACTGCTACGCATTGCTGCACTGCTGTGCACAGTGCTACTCATACTGCTGTATTTAAAAGGGCACGAAATTGAATTGAATACAAATTCTAACAAAACTAGAGAAGGATTTCTTCATTTTCTGTTTCCTCTAGGGCTAAATTACCCTTGGGTACAGTAGTACGGTAGGGTGCAGTGGCGAAGGTTTCACGGACATAGCGAGAAATGTGAAGAACGATGTGTTCATGTGAATCATTTCCGTGCACACGGTAGGCACGCCCCTCATGAGGGTGCTACCCCGGTACGCGCGACGTGGCCACGAAACAAGGAGCTCTGCAACCTCTGCGTTGTCCCAATTTCGGGTGGTGCCCTAGATGTGGCTCCCCAGATCTAGGGCGGAGCATTTTCCGCAGTGGCCAACAGAAGGCGGTCTGACTCGCACTCCCCACACCGCAAGTGACACGTGGCGGGCTGCAAGAAGTATTCCTCCCTCATTAATTTACCTGTGGGACTCCTCATCTGTGTCGCGAGTCTGCTTTCGAGGTCGAGCCTCGCCTTTTTGATATTAGGGATTAACTCCGAGAGCCTCTGAGAAGCTGACCCGCATTGTGGACATGCAGGACATGTGTGAAGTTCAAGCCTGCCTGTCTGAGGGATGGGTGCTTCCAACTGGGGAGTGTGTCAATTTCTTTTGTTACAGTACGAAAAAATCGCGCTTGAACCTGTCACAACCTAGTCTGTTGCACAGTTCTAGGAATGCGAGAGAGACAGACACCACCAAGCGATTGGCGTGAAACCGCATTAGTGATGAGCTAGTCCTTTTGCAGAAAACCCGTTTCCTACAATCAGCTTGCGAGAAAAAGGATGTTCGAGCTGGGGCTGCTGGGCTGAATCCGCACTAGGACTTGGCGTAATAGCCCGAACGGGCCACGACAATGACAGGAGGAAAGCCATCGGGAGTTTCCTGCGAGCCGTCGGTCATGGAACGGAATACCCCAGCCGATCGGGGCTGCGGGGCGTTTAGAAATGGAGCGCCGTGGACTGTCCATACGTCGTGTGGACCGCAGATAGGCATTCCTCCAAACGGCGGGCGAATGAATAGCCATGCCTCTCCATCGAGGGTGCCGCGCTACCGGGGCAGCGCCCGTGGCACTGCACACTGGGCGCTAGGCTTCGGTACGGCGGCAAAAACTTTGTCGGGGATATTAGCAGCGGCAGGCACGCAGGGCGCGACAACAACGCGCCGGCGCAATCTCACGGGGCCCGATTGGGGCGTCTCGCGTGATTGGGGGAGATCCGGGCGCGCCCCTTGAGATCGCCTTACCTCGCAGCTCTCTCTTGCGCCCCACTGCCCGGGCCTGCGCGCCGCTTCTCACGTTGCCCCCATGCGCCCCGCTTCACCCGCTCGCCACGCCCGCGCGCTGCGCGCCAGCCGCACCGCTCGCGGCCCTGCCCCCCAACGGGGGGCAGGCGCGCGTGCTGGGCGCGATATTTTGAGAGTTTGATATGTTTCCGAAAATCATCACTGCCGGCGGTCTTTCGTGCCCCGCCGGGCCGCCCCGGGGCTACTTAAGCGCGCCTCTGCACATACGCTCTGCCGCATCGCCCCATCGCCTCCAACCCAACTCTTCGCCCGCCCTCATCTTCCGAACGCACCCCACGCTTCCCGCACCTCCAGCACCCGACGACTCTAGCAAGCATGGCGCCCTCAACCCTCGCGTTCCCCCTCGCGCGGCACGGCGTGCGCGCCGCGCTGTCGTCGGCCGGCCGCGCGCTGTCATCCACGCGCGTGCAGGGCGAGGCCGGACAAGGGCTCGTGCGCGCTGTGCTGGCTGGCGATGGTCGCATCGTCGACTTGCACGTCAACCCGGCTATCGGGAAGGAGGGCCCCAAGGCTATCGAGGAGCTCGTGGCTGCGGCCGTCAATCGCGCCCATGACCGACTCAGGGAGGAGACTAGGAAGCAGGTTCTGGAGAGCCTGCCGCCCAATGTTGACCCGGCTATGGTGCTCAGGGCTTTGCCGTGACGTGGTGGCAGTGGGGGAATGTATAGCTTCGTGTAGGCTTTGTGTAGGTACTTAATTGTAGGGTAGGAGGAAGGGATGAAATATATTTTGACTTTATCGAAAATCTGTTCGCGCTTGTGTCGTGGTGTCGCAGGGTATGGCGATGGTGTCGTTGCAAATTACGGCTGTTTGCCTTCGAAACGATGTTTATGTGTTTCGCCATGCCCTCAGTGATGTCAATAGCGCAGTTGCTCAGCGCAACTGCCCAGAGGCTCTTTGAAGGTTCTGCGTACTGCTCTCAATTTTGGTGGAAGGCAGGTTGCAACTCCATGCCAGCACAAACCTTGAACGTGTGCGCGTTCTTACAAACCAGACTCAACTTAGCTGGGACCTGCAGATTTGGTGGGCACTGGCAACCGTTTCAGTGATGTTTACGTAAGCATGAATTCAATAAGCCTTTCTCGCCCCCTCTCGACGACAGCGAGCCGTTGCCCGGAATCACCTTTTTACCGAACCGACTTCTAGAAGGCCCGTTCGGTCCTCGGCCAAAATGGCGGCTGGGGTTTTGCGTGTGGCCAGGAGATGCCATCTCTCCCTGCAAAACGTCGATGCAACTCATTGGAGAAGGCGAGAAAATTGATAGGCCCCCAACCCTAGTCTGCAATTAAATTGCAAATTTTGCACATGCCCTTTCCCCATATACAGTATTTCCCTTCAGACGATACTGTACGTAACTGCCGCTCCATTCTGATAGCCAATATTTCTTACAGCATAGCTTCACTGTATGCAAAGACGCGAGAGAGTTCTCATTTGCGAGAGAGCGCACCTCCTCCCAGGGGGCGGTCTCTGGATCAATTTCTTGTACAAATGCAAAATTGAGCTGGTTAGAAACAGATCAAGTCTTGCCTTGCCAATCAGCGCGCCGCTCCGCCGCCCGCCGTCGCCCACCCGCCTCATGCGCTGTATTTCGCTGTCACACCTACCGCCGAAACAGTATAAATAGTGCGGGTGCTCCTCCATCTACCCCTCTCCCGGTTAACTGTCTTGGTTAAAGCCTTGATTAAGTGTAGTATCTGTTTTATCTAGTGTAACAGCTAGATGCGTCTCCACATGGAGTCGCGTTTTATGTTACAACTATTTTTCTCGAGGGGCGTCGTTTTTGATGGAGCTTGCTTCGTCGCGGCGCCGCGCTTTGCCCTGGTATTGCACTAGCCTCCAGGTTTTGCAGAGCACCTCTTCCCCCCATCGAACTTCCCGTATGGGTTGTTTCTGTTTTCATCGACTTCTTGTTTCCGGCGGCGCTCTTCTCTCGTTTCTGTTTGTTTCTCTCTTTCAGGTTCGCGTCAGTGCCGCAGGCGGCCTCGCGCTTCTTGCTGCGTCCGTATCCGTTCGGAAGGAAAATATATCATGTCGCCGGGGTACCTCGTGACATTTCAATGCCATGTCCACGCTACTCTCCCCGAGGCCGTACATGTTTGTTCCACAGCTTTCAGACGAGTACAACGGCGCTTACCGATGTGACATCCAGCCACACACTCAATTCTTCGACGGCAACTGCAATCAGCGTCAGGCAGGAGGTGAATTATTAAAGGAGTCTGCTACAGCTTCCGGTAATTTCATGGCTGCTGCGGATTATGAAGCTGCCTCACCGCTAATATCTTTTCCTTCTGTTGTCTCATTGAGGTTGTCCGTAAAGTCACGAAAACGCGTGATTTGGTGGCGTATTTGCTCGGATTCTCTAAACGCAAATTTTCAGACAACGCGTTTGGCAAAACTCACAGAATACCGAAAACTGGGGGCATGTGAGTTTTCCACGAGTTTCTCATCTGCCTGATCACGACAGTGCCGGATCGACCCGTCTTGATGGAAAGCGAAGTGGGTTTTCCGCTCTTTTCATCAGCACGAAGGAGTCTCAGACTGCACGGGCCGTACCGGTTTTCGTCATGGACGCCCGTATCTCTTCATCTGCGCGGTCCATCAACGGATCAAAGCGCGACAGGATCTGCCACAGATGTCGTCGAAGCAACCGCGAATGATAGACAAGTAGAAGCTTCTAAAAAGCGGTCCTCTCCAAACGGCCCCCCTCAGCCTGTGAAGAAGACGAAACACATCGCTCTCTCGACTGAGAACCATTCTACTGTATCCTTGAGGCGAGCTACAATATTCGCTACAGCGAGTATTCGCGCAGGTACACGTGATCCGTCGGGCGGCACAACTATGTACCAGACTTGCGTTTGTTGCGGGCAGGTACCTTGCTGGAGGTCAGTCCGCAAAACTCGTGGAATTTTTCAATCTCGGGTTTACTTTACGTCCAGCGACTTTGTGGGCAAGTGGAAAAAAACAACACGTTATTTTTACGGACAACCTTATTGTAAACCATCGCCTATTATTCTTTGCTACCTTTTCCGCTGCCACTCGCCACTGTGTCTCCATCTGGAATGCGTACGCTGATTTTGCTAATACGAATGCCAGGAAGTGAGGGTGTGCAGGAATGAAGTGCATCAGCCTAATCGCCCGGCCCTACGAAGATGATGCTTGATCATTTCACATGAGAGATCGGCAACTTCAACTTCGTGGTGTGCGAGCAAATTGGGCTCCATGTCTTTATTATGATGATCACGGCAAGTACCTGATTCTCACTTACCCACAAATACATACAGCGTCAGAACATCGCACCGCCTCCCTCTCAAACGACCTTGACTTCCTCCTTCTCCACCTTCCCGTCAACAAACTTAATACTAACAGAGTTCACGCAGTGCCGTTCATTCGTCGGCGTCATCCCCTCCCCTTCGAACACATGACCCAAATGGCCATCGCAAGCCCCACACATAATCTCCACTCTCTTCATGCCAAGCGAGGCATCCGTCTCGGTGCGAATGCTACCTTTGTAACACTTATCGAACGCAGGCCACCCACAGCCGGACTGAAACTTGGCCTCGGCCGAATAGATTGGGTTACCACACCCACGACACGCAAAGTGGCCCTCCTTGGGATAGAAGCCATCGTACTCGCCCGAGCCGGGGCGCTCAGTACCCTTCTCGCGGAGAATGTTGAACTCCTGTCGCGACAAGACCTTGCGCCAATCGTCGGCGGTCATAGATCGAGCGTCCTTCTCCGCAGGCATCTTGCCCGTGCCGGGCGTGCCCGCAGTGGGCGTCGACGACGACATGCGGAAGCGCGGAAGCGAGAACGGCATGGGCGGGCGCTGCGTGATGAGGGGCCTTACTCGGTGCGCAGTGTGGCTCGGGATGCGTAGGGCGGGGCTGCTTAAGAAGGCCATGACGGAAGTGCAGGTAGCTGGCGCGGGGGTGGGGGATTCTCCCACGCAGTTTTTCTACGCACCCAGAGATTTTTCGGGCTGGAGGTGTGCCAGAGTTCGTGGCTGTTGGACGCGCGCTGGTTGGCCGGATTTGCAGCAGTGCACGCCCCTCGCAGGCCCGCTAGCGGTGCTGCTGCACATGTGTCGTACGTCGGTGACAATGACCGGGCGGGTACAGCCAATGGGGATGGCCCAGCGGGAGGAGAAATTCGGAGACTGAAGACGTCAGCGTCTCTGTTGTGTTGTGTTTCTTTGACTCGTTGAGGACGTGGGAATTTCTTTGCAACATGCACGCTTGTTACCGCATTCCGACTCTTGTCAAGTCTTGCTGACGGCATCTTCAGTCGGCAGCGCGGATGGAGAGGCAGTGAGTTGCACGGAATTTTTCACACGGGTTGGGCCCTACGAGGTAGGCATCCTGTAGAAATCACGCTGTGTCTCCACTCATCTACGGCAACAATTTAAATCGCGGCATCATGCCAGTTTTCTCAGTCCGTCGTGGTCTGCACCCAAACCCCCCAAAAATGAGCATTTCGTTTGTCGTACAGACTACATGCAGCGAGACGTTGAGCTATTGCACAGTTCCCTCGTGAATGCTGTGTTGATGACTCCGAACGCTACAGAAAAAGTTCAGGTTGGGGAACGTCGAGAAGCTGAGTGACGTGAAAGGAAGGGCAATAGTAGCCCAAGCCGTGGCCGTGGATGTAAGCATACACGCCCTTCTCGCCTTGGCTACATAATATATATTTTTGTGAAGCATGCGTATGTCAAACAATGCTGCATAAGAAGGAAACGCGTATTGTCTTTCCAGCACTCAGATGGTCTGTTGGTCGCAGAGTATCTTATGTCCGTGGTGCCATGCTGCTCGTAAAATACCTCCCTGTTTCTGTTTTAATCTCCAAGTTACCCATTGTTGTGTTCTAATAAGGGTACGCGGTGTGATCCCAACATCTTGAAATATACTCTACTGGTAATACTAATACATGAAGTAAAACAGCGGCAAGACAAACAGCTAGGGTATCTGCATAGAGTTAAAGGACTCTTCTTCCTTGCTCGGGGCGCTTCTTCTCGATCACATGTGTAGTAGTTTTCAAGAACACAGTCCCGGTCTGTACAGGATAGGCTTTATTGATGCAGTGCTAGCGGGAGTGAGCAAGTGCTGCGATTTGAAATACACTTCACGATAGTGCGGCCGTCGAGCATGTTGCGAACATGCCATCGTTGAATTGGAACATGGATATGGTAGAGTCGTCCATCTCGCCACAGCCTGATAGGCGAAGGTGGTAGTAAAGGGCAATATCGAGTCTGGTTTGAGTCATACGGTTCTAGATTTTTAAATGTTGGGGCGCAATTCGTTCTTTCGCAGAATGCAGAGTTCGAGAATGAGGTTGTGCGAAATTCTCTTTTGTCGGGGCACGGAAAGCTAACGCTTCTCTAAAGGCCGTGTCGTCCCTATCCCACCGTATAGGGCTATGCTCAGTTGTAGTGTTTTGCTTCTCACATCCAGTCCTCGGGGTTGCCGTCCTCATCTTTGCTGCCTCGTCTTTGCCGGCTGTTTCCATGGGCAGCTAGGATTTTGTGGAAACGCGGATTCCGCAGAATACACTTTTCTTTACAAATTCTTACTCCACTCTGCATCTCTTCCTAAGTTTCGGGGAGCAGAATGACATCTACGTCACATAAAGCGATATTTTTTGCTACGGACAAGGATTCAACACACTATCATCTCTCCGGCCCACACAGTAGTTCTGAATCTCGTTCACGTCCAGTTTGGTGATGATGGTCAGCGCTTCAAAATCGGAAATCTGGGGGATGGGGATAACAAGCTTCAACAAACCACACGTCTTGACGGAATGTTTAGGGAATTATGAAGCATGGAATAGTTTACTGTAACCTACAACTTTGGGGATAGGACGTGTAAATGATCTATCCCAGAATGACCCGCCGTCCTAAATCGAAAAATCCCATGCGCGTGCGACAAATTTTGAGTTTTTATTAAATCGTGTCGTCGTAGGGAATTCTCTTCATCTTCACATATTCTGGTTGTAGCGCACTGACACTTCACGATTCAAGCGCAAGATGCCGAAAGTAGAGAACGGGGCTGCGCCAGTAGGACTGCAATTTGGGAAAGAAATGGGCACTCTGGCCCTCCCTGGAGAAGAAATTGGGAAGCTTGTTGATACGACTCCCCCGCATGGATTGCAGTCGCCGCAGGATCAGAAGCGAGCAGTTGTGCGGCTCGGCTCTGGAGTGACGCAGCGCGGATCCTCCCTTCTATCATCGAAAGCCGGAAAAGTGTGCTTTGATGGACGACGGAACAAGACCTGGGTCGAAAACAATCAGAAGCGCTACGTCCCCGCACTTGAAGACATGGTTATCGGGGTTGTGGAGGAGCGCCATTCCGAGGACGTAAGACTTGACATTAACGGGACCGATACAGCCACACTTTCGTCGCTTGCTTTTGAAGGCGCAACCAAGAAGAACAGGCCTCATCTCGATATTGGGTCCCTGATCTATTGCCGTATCACGCGCGCCTCAAAAAATATGGAGGCTGAGGCGTCGTGCATCGAACCAGGAAGCAACAAATCATGGGTCGGCGGGGAGGCACTGTACGGAGAGCTGAAAGGGGGGAATGTCATTCAGGTCTCTCTTGGTTTGGCGAGGTCTTTACTTGTACCGAATGGACCGGTGCTTACCACGCTTGGAGCGAAGATTCCTTTCCAGTCCGCGGTAGGTGTTAACGGACGTGTTTGGATTCAATCGTCATCTACGGAGCATACTGTACTACTGTCGATTGCGATCGCAAAGGCCGATACAATGCCTGCTGATGAGTGGAAGGCGTTCGTAAAGAAGATGCTGGAACAGGCCACATAAAGAATTTGAAACCAGAGCAAAGTTATAGATGGAAAGACTGTGGGATATGCCAAGGAACAAGAGCCCCTTTAAGCCACACATTTGTTCCAAGTGGAAACGTCGTGACGGACCCTGGGGCTATTTTTCAGACGCGCAGTCTTCAGAAACCGCAACCAGGTGTTGCTCTTCGCGGCTACGATGTCGTTCTTGTCTTCGGAGATCGCAAAAGGGACTTTCTGTGCGTGTGACAGCAGCACGTACTCAACACGCAACTCGCGTGACTTATGTACGTACTTGTGGGTATATACCGTTGAAATGATGGGATGAATGAATCCTGTTGAGCCTGGACAGAGCAAAGTTTCTCGCAGAGGAGAGTCACTTGAGCGTCATGTTCCGCCACAGCGCCATGCCGTGCAGTGAAGTAAGACTGATGAGTGGCATTGTAAGCGGGTGCACAGTAATGTGCGCTACTCGTATCTACCGTGTTGCACTGCACGTCGTTCATTGTCACTAGATATAGGAATACCGTACACTGCCTCGCGACGTTAGGCAAGCATTTCAGAATGGAGAGATTACGCACCAATGCGTGCATACCCTTTTCAAAACAGTAACGCCAATTTTTACATGCTGCCCTACAGTGATCTCAGTCATTGCTTGTGCGGCGATTCAATATCACTTTCCAGAGAGACGCTCACCAGCTTGTTGTCGCCTTCTTCATAAACGCCAGCGCCCAAGTCAGCAAGCTCGTCCGTCTTTGGCACACCGAAAACGTCCTCCGTGTCATCGATGGCGACGATGGTTTCCGGCAACAGCTCCGGCTTCGCCACCTGCTTCGCGACCGGCTCCGGCTCCGGCTCCGGCTCACGCTCCCGGTCACGCGTAGGGGAGGGCACAACCGGGGAGCCGACCTCGGTCGGCTTCTCACGTTGCCCCTGCCCCACCACAGCGAACGGGGGATCCGAGCTAAACGGCGAGGCATTGTCCTCGAAGGCGCTCGGAGCGTGTGTGACGTCGTTCCAGCTCTGATGCGTGTACTGCGACCTCCTCGGTGCGTGCATGCGATCTGCCTTGTAGTCGTGTGGCTCCCCCTCAGCGTCGCTCTGCAAATCGGACCTAGCCAAATCGGACCTAGCCTCGTACTCGTTCTTCGACGGCGGGAGTGGAATGCGCTCGACGTAGGCCTCATCCACCCAGTCATCATCGTCGTCACTCCAGTCGTCCGGGTCATGGCGCACGGGCCTGCGCCTCCTGCGGCGGTCGCGCGGGGCGCGGGTGGGCATGGGCTTGTCCCTGGCGAGCCAGAACTGGAAGAACATGGCGGCGGTGCCCAAGGCGACGGTGAGGACGACATAGAAGACGACCCAGGCGTGGAGCTCGCCCTTCTCGACGCTCTCGATCTCGCGGGCGGTCGGGAAGTGGCCGGCGAGCTGGCCGATGCCGAACATGCATGCGCAGCTGCCAGCGTAGGCGGTGGAGAAGATGAGCATCTGCTTCTGCAGGCAGACGGCCAGGGCGCCGAAGGCGAGGCCGGACACGGCGGCGGCGACGTAGTGGCGTTGGGGGATGGGGGCGTGGTGGGGAGGGGAGGGGGAGGGGGAGGGGGAGGGGCGAGGAGGGGGAGGGGCGAGGAGGGGGAGGCGAACATGCCGAGGTTGAGGGCGCGCAGGGCGAGGAAGCCGAGCAGGGCGCCGCCGAGCAGCATGGCGGCGATGGCGATGGGTGCTGTGTGGCGAGCGATACTCTTTTGGGGGCGCGCTCACGGCATGCGATTGGGTGTGCCTAAAGTGGGAGGCAGCGGGGAGTATAGTCGCACACGTGTGCCTTACAAGACGGAAATTAAAAGAAAATAAAAGAAAGTAAAAGACATGGTGATGGCGCGCCTGACAGTCGGGAGAATGCCGTCGTACACGTGTGCTACACGTGTGCTTTCCAATTCATGGGCAATCAAACGTTGCCCTTTTTTTATTATGAAAATGCATCGTGACTGCCGGGACGCAGCGGAGGACGCCGGCCTGACAGAGTCGCGATCAGGAGAATAGGTCCTGCGCGGTCATCCGCTCCGAGACGTCTGGCCCTGGCCCCGTCTCATTTTTGCCCCTGGTGTTGGGTCCATGACTCAGCTCGCCTGGTATGCCGTGTTGTAGCGCATTTTTAATCGTTTAAATATCATTGGTGCGCCACTGCCAACAGTGGACGAAGCATGATGGAATCGCTACGGGAAATACCTGTCACTGTAAGTCCAGTTATGCTTGTGACCACGTCTTTCCAAAACTTGCACGGACGTTTATAGTTTCGCCTAAAATTTCCGCAAACGTTTTAATGCGAGGGTGCACGTCTCCAGAATGTTTCTGAGTTTCGCAGAAAAAGTTGCTCAAACTTTCGGCAGCACTTTGGGAACCTTTGAAACTTCAGAAGCATTCATCAACCTTTTCAAAGATGCCGGATCGCATTACAGCTCCGATCGAGGGTGGATGGAAATATTCCTTCATTGAGGCCTTGCTTGCAGGATCCAACAAGGTCCACCACCGGGACCAATGGGAGTGCCGTTTGAGGCGAATATCAGAAAAATCAATTGTCAACCAGGATTTTACGGAGCCATGAGCCCTGGTAGTTGGGACCAAAGTTGTATGGCTCTGGGTCACAGGCTCTGGTACCCAGGGCCATTATTGGGACGTATTCTCCTGAATGCGACTCTGACAGTGGCGCAAATTGCATCGCGTCCAGGTGTGTCAGCACGCGCGCGTGGCCAGCAATGTATGCTCACCAATCCCTTGGGTAGTGTCTATCCGATCGGCGCTTGTCCTCATATGAGGACAGCTATTTTTTTTGCAAAAATATATAAATTAAATTGAACATTCAAAAAGCTACCTTGAGCACTATTTCCTTCACATACAGTACCCTTGGGTAGTTGTTTTCCGCAATACCATCTTGCAAAACACCGGGATAGCAGCTTTGAATATGCAGAAGCGATTAAGAATATAATGCAGATTGAGTACATAGTTCCCTTTTTAAAATGGCATTTTTGGTTTCCAAGTTATTTTACATGCGGTTTTAAGGTGGTTTAAAAAAGCTCCCTCTTCCAGACATATCTAAAACCAACCAAGAAGAAGAAGCAATTCTCACAAACTTCTTTCTGGCCCCAAGTCAGAGTTCAAGCACGGTGGTACGGGTATCTTTTTCATTCTTGTCGAGGAAGCGGAAGTCAAGAATAATGTCCTCATACGAGAACAATGGTCCGATAGATACTAGCGTCGTCTTGCCGCCGACGTCCATTCCGTGGTCCACACAGCCGCGCTCCATTACCCTCACGTTCTGTGATCCGAAAAGTCGGCGTCTTTTACAGTAGATGCATGCCTCAAGGCTAATCCCCTAATCCCCTTTCTGCTTCATCGCCGCCATCCGAATTGACAAGGCCCTTGTCTTCTATACCACATGCTTTCGCGCGCTATTGTTTCTCGTTTCTGCTTCACAGCTTTCGTATAAAACCAGAGCATGATGAAGACATAAGTACGATGCACCTCATTCACGCAGGTCCTACTGTACATATCAAAGTTTTTGTCTCCAGTAAATAGCGGGGCCTTGCGTTTGCCGATATGCAACAGCACAGCAGTATTTCCGTTTTCCGTCTATCGTTGATGGCGACTGCGCAATGCTTCTTGCTAAATAGCGTTTTTGCAACTTTCAGTGCCTGCATCACTGTTTCTCAGACACCGGACGGTATGCCACAAATATCACTTCTATAGTATGCAGGTTTGACACCCGCAGAGCATGGAACGCCACAGTGTGAGTCACGGCGCTCACGTTTTGCTGAAGAAGGCGCATGGACTAATATTGGAATCCCTGCATTTCAACGACCTGCCGAATCTGAACGTCGAAGCCAGTGCGTCTACATACTTGGCGTTGAGACTGCGGCGCAGTGGCTCTGCATTCACAGAAAAGACGGTTGCAGGAGCCCTTTTTTCACAGGCAAGGTAACCGACAGTACGTCAATAATCATGTCGCGCTACCTGAAGGAGAAAGTCAGGGGGGAAAGGACATTTAAGCGAGGCATGGAACTGACTTGTGCAAACCAAACGCTCACACTATCGGGGACAGAGAAACGAACGAATTCTTATCCAAAACGCAAATATGCCAAATTTTGGCCAATTTCGATGCGTCCAATGTCCTCTTGAACCTCCCTGGACATCCAGTACCCCCTTCCTCGGTTTAATCAGTCCACAAAAGCCCTCAGCACGACAGCCTTCACAAACTGCGAGCAGATGTCCCATCACCCACCAGCCCCCGTTAACTACACCATCAACACACCGCACCACTCCGCAAGCAACCCGTCACCCCTCCGCAACCCGCTTCCACGTCAAGCCCCGCACGCATCCCGCCACGTCCTCGCCCTCCGCGCCTCGTGTTCGCCATGGCCCGCCTGCGCCCCAAGCTGAGCCTCGCCATGAAGCGGGAGCACGAAGTGCGCCGTCAGCTGGGCATCAGCCGGACGGAGCGGCGCGCACGCGGGCGCAAGGGCGCGGCGCGCGCGGCCGCCGAGCTTGCGCGTCGCCAGCGGCGCGCGCGCCAACGCCTCCCGGGCTGGGACAGCCTGAGCTTCGAGCTGCAGGACATGATTCTCAAGCAGCTCTCCATCTCGGACCTGTACAACGTGCGGCGCGCGGGCCTGGGCGCCGCGTCCGTCGCCAGCCGCGAGCGCATGCGCGAGCTCATGGTCCGCCGCTGCAGGGACCTGTCCCCGCTGTGGAAGATGTGGGCCGGCTCGTCCAAGCACGCGGAGAGGCACATGTATATGCCCACAGACTTCACGGCAGAAGTTAAGAAGCTCACCGTGGCGCCGGAGGGGGACGGCCTGCCGCCGAGCATATGCGAGATGCATGCGCTCCGGTATTTGGATGTGTCGCGCTCGCAGAACAGTATGTCTTCAAGCACGCCCCCGCTCACGACGCTGCCGCGGTCGCTGGCTAGGTGCCGCGGGCTGCTGGAGCTCAGGATTTCGCATCATCATTTTGAGACGCTGCCAAAGTGCGTGCTTGAGTTGCGCAACTTGCGCAGGCTGGAGATTGATTGTAACGTGCTGCTCAAAGCATTACCGGAGGATATCGGTGTGCGGTTACAGAGCTTAACGTTTTTGAACATGAAGGCGTGCGTGAGGATTACCAGGTTGCCAAGCTCGTTGCTGGAGCGCTTGGAAGCTGCTGTCGTCGGGAAATGGCATCGGCGCATTCCATTATTGCTCACAGCAGGATGCTTTGAGAGCGGCTATTTGAAAAACACGATTGTGCCGGAAATGTACCCGAGTCTGTCGATGTATTTAGAAAATGGGGCGCTCACCGGCACATACGTGAACCTTGATAGTTGATGCGCTGGTGGCAGTAGACGTGCGAATACCCAGTTAAAGTTGCAAATATATGCTATAATGAAAAGCCACATGTTGCAAGAGAAGCACTGTTTCGACCGTCGGCCATGAAACGCGTGCTCCAGAGTTTGACATGGGTTTACCTGGTTAATTCCTACACGCACACACACGCGCGCACACACACACACACACACACACACACACACACACACACACACACACACACATTAATGTTCCTATTTTATCCCCTCCCATATCATAACATCGTCGACCCGCCGCGGTCCGGCCACACGGGTTGCTCAACAGGGACCACAAGCTCTTAACAACTAGCCTTGCAATTTGCGCAAAGTATATAAAGACAAAAGGCAGCTCTACCAAAACAGACTCGCGGTCAACACCTAATTTGACATAAACTCTCCTGGTGCTCACCCTGATGTTACGCCCCCACAAGTGATGCTCGGCGTGTGGTCCGTGCCGACTCAATGCCTGAGCGGGAGGACTTGGCCAATGCACGCTTGCTCGAGTATTTGGCAGTGATGCATCGGAAAAAGTCGCGCCAGACGAGCTCAAAGTATGTGGACGACCTCATCAACTCCTGGGGGTTACGGATGGCCTTCTTCATCTCGTCAAAGATCCTCCGTGGGGAAACGCAGCCCAGCGCAAGCCATGGGGAGATGCGGCAGGAAAAGTCGGCTCCCAAATTCTTGGGTGTGACAGACTTGGGGCTATGCTTGGCGTCGAAGCGGTTGGTCTCCTCGACGTAGGCCTGGACGCGCCGGTGGGCCTCCTTCTCCCCGCCGGTGACAGCGCTGACGCCCGTAGCAGACGGGGGCCGCGTAGAGTAGACGATGTTGGTGCGAATGCCGAGGGCCTCCAGGGTGGGGATCTTGCCTGGACGCAGGCCTTTAGGCATGTTGGGCATTCTGTCGGGCGCGGGGAGCGGGACGCGGATGTTGCCGCGCTTCTCAACAGACTCGCGAAAGTCCGAGTACACATCGGGCATGGTGCGGATATCAAACGGCAAATCATCCTCGTGATACAAAGTATTGGCCCAGAAGGACGAGAGCTCGGCGCCCTGCTTCTTGAGGGCGGTGGCCAGGGCGGCCTCGACCTGCTGGTCGTCGTACGTGACCTCCTTATGCACAAAGACTCTCTTCGAGCCGAGCTTCTTGCAAAGGTCGGGCAGGACGTCCTCGGGGTTGCCGCGCCTGACGACGATATCGGCGCCCTTCTCCTGCAGCGACTTGCGGAGGCCGGCGATGCTCTCCAGCAGGAACTTTGCGCGGTACTGGCCGGTCTTCTCGAAGCCGTACTCGGTGCGGCCGAAGTGGCGCGGATCGAAGCAGTAGACGGGGACGACGGTGGCGGCCTCCTCGATGGCGTGCGACAGGGCCGGGTGGTCGTCCAGGCGCAGATCGGAGCGGAACAGCACGACGATGGTGCCCGTGCCCTTGCCCACGGCCGCGTCGCCGAGATGCCCCGCGGCCGCGCGCGCGGGCAGCAGGTCCGTCCGTAGCGCAGGCGCGGATACCAGCGCGGGGGCGCGCGGGGGTAGCACGGGGGCCGCCGCGGCCGGGCGCACGGAGAGGCTGGGGACCGTCGAGGCGGACGGGTTGAGGGCCGGGGCGTTCGTGGGGACGAAGGCTGGGGCGTTCATGGCGCGGTGGGTGAAGGTGTGGGTGATCGGATTTGGGGGTGCGATGGGGGGGGGAGGGAGGAGGGCT